TAAGGGAGTAACTTTACATGCTCAAAAAGCCTGCTACATCTTCATGCATTCTCTCTTCTATTTTTATCTCCCTGAATAATAGGAATTTTAAATCTTGTCCAAATACCACAAAAGGTGTGTAAAACAAGTAATGTCATTACCCATAACTGGGTTCAAATCCTTTTGTCACTCCCAAAAGCAGGAATCTCGACTTTGACATAAAATAGCTAAGGACCTGGATTCAAACTCACCTCTGATCTTTAATTATCTCTGTGACCCAGGGCAAGTCACTTGACCTCAGGCTTCAGCATCTCCACTGAAAAATAAGAGGGTTGGGCTGTAGCAATGAGGTCAAACTCAAATAGAAGCAGTGCACTATCTGCACATGAAGATCACTGTAGGCCACAGATTGACTTAGAGAACTACCTATGAACATTATTTATGTTCCATTATATCTTTTTTCTCTTAAATATTTCCCAATTACATTTGAATTTGGTTCAGGCCACCCTCAGAAGTATTGCAAGCCCCTGGGAGTGAGGGTGGGGGACATGTTTTACACCTCTGGAGCACATGACCTCAAGCCCTCAATCTATGATCCTATGGATATACCATGATGAAATCTAGCCATGTCTGTCCCCGAAAATGACCACCTAAAAATAGTTCTGGCTTTAAGGTGGGAAATAACATAACATAGATTAACATAGGTGAGCAAATAGATATGTTGAGGTCAGATTTAGGAGAGTGGTTCAGGTGTGAAAGAATTCACTTAGCAGACTTTCTCTTAACCAGCTTTTTATTTTACATGAAAAAGCATCATGAGCCCCATTAGCAAAAAGCTAATGAAAATGCCCCAATCATTGGGGGAGTCATGCTTACATAGAGGTTTCGGAATGATGAAGTAGTTTTAGGGTTTATGGTGGTTGAAGATTAAAGAAGAATTTTATGACACAGGATGAGGGAAATGGTTGACAAGATAAAAAGGACAGGGGGATACAGGATAAGGAAGAAAAAACAATTCTTTTGGTCTTAGAAGATAAGGGGAAGTTTTGTGGTATTTCAAGATAGGGGAAAAGGACTTTAGGATGCCCTCAAGTTACAGGATCTCCAAAGTACTGGAAAAGCAACCCTTAATATTCTTTTTAGCCCTTAGGGCACCGTTTGTATCCACATCAGATAGATACATACATACATGCATACATATGATGGTAGATAGATACACAGACAGCTGCCTCCACTTGAGGAGTCAACGTGCTCTCATGGATCACACTCTGGGCTCAAAGTCCCCAGGTCCAATACTTGCGCCCATTGCATGTTAGAGGATGACCCTGAGCATCACTGCTAGTCCTTGGTCACTCAGTCAATAAGTATTGATTAAGCTCCTACTATGTGCTAGGCATGGTGCTAAGTGCCAGAGATACAAAGCAAGGCAAAAGACAATCCTTGTGCTCCAAAAGCTCACAGTCTAATGGGGGACACAATATGCAAATAGCTTAATGCAAACAAGCTATAAACAGGTGCCTCAGGGACTTCCTTTTCTTCAAAGAACAGTTCACTTTCTACTCCTTACCTGAGACCTTTCTTTCCTCCTTCCTACCACCTGCTGTCCCTCCACCCCCTACCCCATAGAAAGGTCACTTTGCATTTCCTGTGTCTATATTTGGTAATTTACTGGATTGTGTCCATGCTCTCTGTGTCTGTCTCTGTCTCTCAAACACACACACACACACACACACACACACACACACACACACACACACAATCCCTGAAAGTGTGGGTGTTTGGCTTTTGTTTTTGTATCCCAGTTTGCCCTTTCCCTGGTCCATAGTGGACTCTTCATAAATGCTCATGGATTGATTGTGGTCCCAGTGCTGACCTGTGTGATCTTGGACAATTCAAGTCACCTCATCTCACTGGGCTTCAGTTTCCTCATCTGTCAAATGAGGGGGGTAGGCTAGATGGCCCCTGAGGTCCCTTGCAGCTCTAGATCTATGACCCTATGGCCTAGGGTAGGGTCATAGCATGGAGGGTAGATGTTCTGTAGAGGATTTGTAGAAGAATATGAAGGAGAGCCACACAGCATGAGAAGATGTGGATGGACTGTGGTCTATATCAGTGGAAGGTGTACCCACATTGAAGAAATATTGAGTACCATGGGTGGGTAGACAAACAACATGAGACTAGGACTCCACAGGTCTAGGTCCAGCTTGGCCACCAACTTGCTTTGTGATCTTGGGTAGCTATAGTACCTTTAATGGCTGGTCCTATCAATAGAAATGATAGCATGTACCCTTCACTAATTTTTTGCAAAAAGTTAATTCACTTCAAGAAACATTTATTAAACACCTACTATGTGCTAGGCACTGTGCTAGGTGCTAGAGCATACAAATACAGAAAAGAAACAGCCCCTGCTCTCAAAGAGCTCATCTTTTCCTAGAAAGATAAAATGGATATGCAAGTAAATGCAGGGTAAATACCAAGTAAAGCAAAGTCTTTAAGACGAAAAGGGTGCTGATATAATGGGGATGATCAGGAAAGTTCTCCTGCAGAATGTGGAACCTGACCATGCTTTGAAGGAAGGTGGGGATTCTACCAGGCAAAGATAAGGAGGGAATGAATTCATGCCTTTGGAGGGAGGGGCCCTGGGCAAAGACTTGGGGGTGGGAGATTAGAATATTTTTAAAGGGAACAGAGAGTGAGTGAAGAACAATGCAAAAAAAAAATAAGACTAGAGAGGTGAGAGCTATACTGAAGAAAACATTAAATGGATAGGAAAGTGCTTTGAAAAGTCTAAGCCTTGACAAAGTATAGCACTCTTCTATGCTGCTAAAAAAAAAAAACCCTGCAAAGTATAGAAATAAAGGGAAATTTTTTAATATCATAAAAAACACATATTGAAAACCCAAAGCAAGTGTCATATGCAATGGGAATACACTAAAACCTTTTCCAAAAAAAATATGGAAGTGAAGCAAGAATACCCCCTCTCCCCCTCTCCCCTCTATTATTTGATGTAGTTGTAGAAATGCTAATAATAGAAATAAGATAAGAGAAAAGAATAAAAGGAATAAAGATAGGTAAAAAGGAGATAAAACTATCCCTAATTGCTGATGATTTAATAGCATACTTGGAAAATCCCAAGAAATCAGCAAAGATATTGATTGAGACAATTAATCACTTCAGCAAAATTGTAGGACACAAAATAAATCTTCAAAAATCAACAGCATTTCTAAAATTCAAGAAGCAATCATAGAAACGAAAATTTTATTCCAAACAGCTACAAAATGCATAAATTATCTTGAGGTTGACCTTCTAAAGCACACAAAAAAAATTGCATAGACTCAACTACATAATGCTTCTTTAAAAAATAAATAAATACTTAAATAGATGGAGGAATATTCAGTGATCATGGTTAGGCTGTGTCAATATTATAAAAATGACAATATTACCAAAATTAATGTACACTTTTGATGCTATACCAATCAAATTTCCTGGGGATACTTTACAGAACTTGAGAAAATGATAACAAAATTCATTTGTGAAAAAATGAAAGATCTAGAGTATCAAGGAAAATGATGAAAAGGAAGTAGAGATGAAAGGGAAATAGCACATCCAGACCTTAAACAATATTTGAAAGCAACAGTCATCAAAATCACCTGGTATTGGTTAAAGAATAGAGGGATAAATCAATGGAACAGACTAGACAAGGGTGAATCAGAAACAACAGAACTCAGTTATCCAGTATTTGATAAAAGGGAAAATAGAAATTACCTAGGAAAAAGCTTTCTATTTGATAAAAGTTGCTATTAAAAGAGTAAAAAACAGAGTCAAGTTACAGTACCTCCAACTGTGGCTGATCAGACCAATACAAGCTTGGACTGTTCTACCACAGGTTGGGCACAAATAGTCCATGTGAACATTTGGGGTGGATTCTCTAAATTTGCACATCTGGCATTTCTTTTGAGCTACTTCAATTCTGCTTAACTCATAGAGCACAGCACTTTCTCTGAAGTGGGCATGCCATTGTGGGCTGTCCGTTGCTAGTGTCTCCCATGTCACAATCAATTCTGAAGTTCCAAAGTTCTTAAGAAAGACCATGAGAGTATCTTTGTATGGCTTTGTCTGACCACCATGTGAGCACTTGCCCTGTGTGAGTTCTCCATAAAATGGTCTTTTTAGCAAGCACATGTTTTGCATTCGAACAACCTGGCCAGCCCATCAGAGTTGCACTCTCTGAAAGCGAGTTTGAATGCTTGGCATTTTAATTCTAGAAAAGACTTCAGTGTCTACTATCTTATCCTGCCAGATGATCTTCAGAATCTTCCTAAGACAATTCAAATGGAAGTGATTCAGTTTCCTGGCATAGTGCTGCTAGACTGTTCAGGTTTCACAGGCATACAACAATGAGGTCAGCACAATGGCTCTGTAGACCTTCAGTTTGGTAGTCAGTCTAATACCTCTTCTCTCTCACACTTTCTTTTGGAGCCTCCCAAACACTGAGTTAGCTTGGGCAATGTATGTATCAACCTCATTATCAATCATCCCTAGAAAGTATATTACCAAGGTAAGTGAACTTATCCACAGTATTCAAAACTTCTCCATTTGCTGTAACCAATGGTTCCACACATAGATGATATGGTGGTGGCTGGTGGAGCACCTGTGTTTCCTTGGTGTTAATTGTTAGGCCAAAATTAGGACAAGCAGCAGAGAATCGATCCACACTTTGTTGCATCTCAGCTTCAGAGGCTGCATCAAGTGCGCAATCATCTGTGAACAAAAAACCATGCACCAACACTCCCTCCACTTTAGTCTTGGCTTATAGCCCTTCAAGTTGAAGAATTTACCATCAGTGCAGTAGCTGACCTTGATGCCATGTTTGTCCTCATTGAAGGTGTTTGACAACATGGCTGAAAACATCATGCCAAAAAGCATGGGAGCAAGCACCCAGCCTGGTTTCACTCCATTGGTGACATGGAATGCAGGACAGCATCATCCATTATCCAGAATGTGGGCAAGTATGCTGTCATGAAACTAATGTACAATGCTGATGAACTTCTCTGGGCAACCAGATTTTGACATAATATTCCATAAGCCCAAGGTAGATAAACAATTAATAAATATACTTAAGACTAATAGCCATTCCCCAATAGATAAGTGGTCAAAGAATATGAACAAAGAGTTCTCAAAAGAATTGCAAAATATTCACAACCACATGAAAAAATGGCCCAAGTCACTAATAATAAAAGAAATGCAAATCAAAACACCTTGAGGTTCCACTCCATACCCTGCAAATTGGTAAACATGACCAAAAGTGACAACAGTCAATGTTGGGTGATTGTGGAATGATAGACACATTAATACATTGTTGTTGGAGCTGTAAAATAGTACACCAATTTGTGAAAGAAGTTTGGAATTATGCAAATAATGTGGCTAAAAACTCTTTCATCCAGAGATTTGGGGCTTATGCTCCAAAGAAGCCATTGATAAAAAGAAAATTCTCATACACACCAAAATGTTTATGGCAGCACTTTTTGTGATAGCAAAGAATTGGAAACAAAGTGTGTGTCTGAATATTGGGGGATGGCTAAACAAAGTTATGGTACATGAATGCAAATAAATATTGCTGTGCTCTAAGAAACAATGACTGTGAAGAATTCAGAGAAGCCAGGGAAGATATACAAGCCAATGCAGAATGCAGTCCACAGAGCCCCAGTGATTCCCACACTGTAAATAGAGAGAGCAAAAGCCCAAAGTGAATGTAGGATTAGAAGCACTAAACTTGTCCCTGGAGAAGAGGTCAAGAGATACCCTTCCCTCCCTTCTTTAACCAGGTGGGAGACTATGGGTGCTTCTACTGGTCAACCTCCATTGAGGTGTTACTTGGTTCTATTGGACTGAAGGGTTTTTTTTCTCCCTCTTTCTTTTTTAATTTTTTGTTACAAGGAAGGAGTTGATGAGGAGAGGAGAAAGGAATAAATTCAGAAATGAAGGTGATGTGAAAACAAAAGATAGCCATAAAATTATAAATTATCATAATTTCTAATTTACATAAAGTGCCCTGTATACATAACCTAATTGAGCCCTGGTGAAGTAGGCATTCTGGGTATAATTATCCCCATGCAAAAGGTGAGGAAAATGAGACTCAGAGAAGTTAGCAAGGGTCAGAAAGGTACTCAAAGACAGCTTTTCCTGGCTTCAAGCCTACATTCACCTTTCTGTTCTGTTCAAGGTTTTCTGGGGGACACTTCTATATTTCTTTGGTAGAGGAAAAGCAAGTAGAAGGTGCTTGGGGAAAGGGGAAAGTGAAAATGTAGTGTGGAAAAGAGAAAACTCAAGAGGGCTATGGTTGCTGCCTTTAGTAATACAAGGCAATTCAATATGCAGAGCTCTAAGCAGCCTTTCATCTGAAAGAAGGTTTCCATCATCTCATCCAAGTGGAATGACCACAGCTTCCATCCTGGCCTTTGCATCAACAGCTAAGAAACAGCCAAAAGGAAAAAGAAGACATCTGCGGCAGGCAGGCAGAGGTAGCTTTGAAGTCTCTAATTCTGTTCCTTGCCACAGTCACAGAAGACAGAAAGAGGCATTGACATCCAGCAACCATTCCAGCTATGGTTCCTTTCTGAATTGCTCTACAGTCAGCCAGGGGAGTCACATGGCTTCTCTGAGATCATTTAAGAATAAATTCTGCATTGCTCCAGGAGGTGCAGGCATTTCATTCATAGCAATAGCAGTAACACTTTGCATATATCTATTCTTTTCTCCTGTGAAGCATTTTTGCATTCACACCTTTATTCCACCTTCACAGCCTCCCCATCCCAGAGGAAGGTGCTAGATCCACCCCCCCAGAATGGTGATTCCAGTCCCAGAGCTGCCTCCAGCTGTGTGACCCTAGACAAATCACTTCATCTCTGAGCCTTGGTTTCTTTATCTGTGCAATGATGGGGAAGGGAAAGCTGGGCTAGGTGACCTCTAAAGTCCTTTCTAGTTATAAAATACCATGCTTCTATAATCCCATCCTGGTCTTTAAAATGATGTAAAAATAGGGTATAAAGTGGCTCGTTTAACAAGATGAAAGATCCCGGCAACAAATAGAAAGCCTTCCACTTGGGCACAGAGTGTGTATCCATTCACACATGTGTTGTTCTCCCATTAGACTGTGAGCTCCTTGGTGAGAGGGACTGCTTTTACCTTTCTTTGTAACCCTGGCACTTAGAGCACAGAACCTGGCACAAAGTAGGGCTTAATCAATGTTTGCTGATTGGTTGGTTGAAAAACAGCTGACTTCTTTAGTGAATAACAAATTCTTTATGAATCCATGGTATAATGCAAGAACCAGGATGCTTATGCCATCCTAGGCTGTATTAAGGGAAGGATCATGTCCAGGGAGTGAAAAGATAGGTCCAATCATGACCCTAAGGAAGTTCCCCATCCCCACGGGCAACTCTCTTGACTCTCAATTGGCAACCTGCACTGGTAGATGGATTTTCCTCACCAGATATCCCCTGCAATCAATCGAAACAGCAACAGAAAAATTATTGGAAGCATGGGAGGTGATAGCTTACTCTGGTTGGGCCACATATGGACTCTGTTCAACCTGGAGCTACACATCTTGGAAAGGAGTCTGAGGACCTGGAGCAGGTCCAGAGGAGGGTGGAGGGGATGAGTATGGTGATGAGGATACAGAGGATGGTGAAGAGCCCTGGAAGGCTCTTCAGATGACGACCAGTTGAAACAACTGGGGAAGTTTGTTCTGGAAAAGAGAAGACTTGGGGGGGGGGGACATGAAGGACCTAGGGAAACAGTGTAGAAAAGAGAAAACTCAAGGGAATGTGGGAGCTGCCTTCCACAAGGGGAACCGGTGCTGGACGTAGTCTGTCCAGCCCCAGAAGACAGAACTGAGAACAATGGGTGAAAGCTGCAGAGACTCGTGTAGGCTGGACATCTGAGAGCTGTCCCCAAGTCCAGTAGGCTTCCTTGAGAGGGGATGGGTCTTCCCTTTTGGAGGTCCTCAAGCAGACACTGTTGTAGTGCTGACTCTCCTTGGGTTCAGGTTGGACTCCCTGGCCACTGAGGCGGTCCCTTCCAAATCTCAGATTCTGTGATTTGGTGATAGCTCTAGGGATGGAAGGAATCTCAAAAATCATCTGGGGGGGTCCCACGACTCACTGTGGTGATGTAGGAGGACAAATGACTGGCTCCGGGTCAGATGGCGACTTAGTGGTGAAAACAAGACTAGAACCCTCAGTTCCTGGCCCATAGAGTCACTGGGAGGCAACATGCACTTTATGGAATTTCTACACAGAAAACTTCATTTGATTTTTATCCAGTCCTCTTTTTTTTTCAACCTTGGACACTTCCTTTTTCCCAAAAGCAAAATTCGGGTTGCTAAAAAGCCGATGCCCGGGGAAGGTTTCCAGCTGCCCGGTTCATCCCTAATATGGAGTCATTTCATTCTACCTGTGGATGCTTCCCGGCCTCTGCTTTGAATCTCATTACCTTCCTAGACTAAGTACTCAGCACTGAGCTGCTCGTGGCCAACATCTGGACACCTGTTCTTGGATGTTGTCCATAGGGTTCCGGCTGGCTTCATTTCTCAGGGAGTTTTTCCAGCTCACCTTTGTCCTTTTCATGGGCAGAAACACAGAAGAGAGACCTTCAAAAGTTGGAAGATAAAATAGCCCAGTTTCCTCGGGGCTCAGATTTTTGGCCTTTGTTTCTCCAGGTGGAGGTTCTCGTAACTTTTAAGCTTCCCCCAAATGATATTTGGCAGATGGCTTTCGAAGGCACCCAAAGTGTACTTTTAGGTCACCTGGGCCTCTGCTGTAGGATTCTAAAGCACTGAGGAGTTAGAAGGCTGCCTATTTGCAGATCCCCTCAAGTGCTGAGTCGCTCCCTTACCTGGAACCATGCACACCATCAGAAGTGTTGGAAAACAGAAAGGCTTAGCACAGAAAGAACCAAGAGAGAAATGTTCATTAGGCTTGGCCTGTGGGATCCTTAAAGAGGGTTTCAAAATGAGAAGTCATGCCACAACAAGCTTGCGGGGGCAGGCAGACATGTCCTTTATTTATTTTTTAACCACCACTCGGGCCATCAGATTAGCCATTGAGATGCTGCACAAAATCCTCAAATTCCTGGCCTTCCGAATGTCGAGTCCATGTCCATTCATTCAAGTGTTTCCACCATTCCTGTAATACAGTCAGCCACATAGCCTCTGTCCCTCCCCACAAAGAGAATCTGTGATCGCAGTTTGGTTTTCTCACTTGTTTCTTAGAGTGGCTGGGCGTTGTTGAAAGTGCTGACTGATGGCAGTAACAAACATTTCTTATTGCTGCACTTGCACCTCCCTGAAGATGCTTCCAGATCTCTCTTTTTTAATATATTTTATTTCCTCCCAATAACATGTTAAGACATTTGTCACTTTTTTTTAAAGTTTTGAGTCCCAAATTCTATTCCTCCCTCTCCCTCTTCATCTCCCTCCTGAGATGGTGAGCAATCAGATATATATTATATATGTGCAATCATGGAAAACATTTCCAAAAAAAATTTTTTTAAAGAGACAGCTAGGTGGTGCAGTGGACAGAGCACTGACCCTGGAGTCAGGAGGAACTGAGTTCAAATGCGGCCTGAGACACATAATACTTATTAGCTGTGTGACTCTGGGCAAGTCACTCAATCCCAATTGCCTCACCAAAAAAACCCATTTCCATGTTAGTCATTTTGTATAAGACTAGAATAAAATTTTTAAAAATGAAAGAGAGTGAAAATCAGCCTGCTTCAGTCTGTATTCAATCAGCAGGAGGCAGACAGTCTGCTTCATCAGCATGAGTCCTCTGGGACTGTCTTGGCTCATTGTATGGCTAAGAATAGCTAACATTCATAGATGATCATCACACAATGTTGCTATTGCTGTATATGTTCTCCTGGTTGTGCTCAGTCCACTTTGTATCAGTTCATGTAAGTCTTTCCAGGTTTTTCTGTTCCAGATCTCTTTATCCCCCACTCCCCAAGAGCTCTCCAGTTGAGTGTCCCAAGCCTGATTATTCAAACTTGCACAGAACATTCCATTTACCCAACCTCATTGGGTTAGATTTAACCTGTCAGTCTAGCCTGCTGGGACCCTTTGGGAGCCCTTGAGAGCATGAGAAGCAGCAGACCCGATACCGCCTTGAGAGGCAGGGGCAGGGTGGGCTGGCACCAGCTCCTAGACTAGAGGCTGCCAAGAGCCATGTCTTCCATTTTCAGTGCGATCATTTATACTCTCAGAAATAGGCAAAGACTGCAAACCAGGGCTTAGTTGTGGCTCTGTTGATTTCTAGACTTAGGAAAGGGATGGAGGAAATGCAGATTAAACTTAAAAGTCAGCTATGCATCTTTTTTTTTTTTTCAGAGAGCTGGCTGCTAAATATTTGCCAGGACATTGCTAGGTAGGTGCTACTATTATCCCATTTTACAGAAGAGGAAACTCAGAGGCAGAAAGAGTAAGTGACTTTTCCAGGATCACACAGCTAATAAGCATTTGAGACAGGACTCCAAGTTCAAGTCTTTCTGATACCCCACCAGTTTCCACTGTGCCATCGAGCTGCCTCTAACTTCTCCAGTCTGATCTAGGCGACCATCTTTCTCATGAGAGTCAAGATCCCAAAGGTTCACAACAGGATAGAAGAATGGGTCTAATCTAATACCATGAGGTTGAATACATGGAAAGTTCCCAATCAGTTTGGATAGCCATCTTCCCCAAGGGTAGGCAGGAGGAGGCTTGGCTGGAGAGCCATTTGATGAGGACTGGAGGGGGTGGAGCAAGAGGGAGGAGCTTGAAATGAGTCACTGGTGTGAGCCAGAACAGCTCATGCTACCTGGGCTGCATTCAGAGAAACAGCATCATGCCTAGAAAAGAGCGATGGAGAGGGATCTGGGTGCCATGACCTCTGCAGGTCAGCCCAAAGGCCGGGCATATTTAGCCTGGAGAAAAGAAGGCTTAGAGAGGACATGATGCCTTCCAATAAGTTGTGATTCTGTTTCTGTTAAAACTCTGGAATTTGTCCTTAAAGAGGCAGTTAGTAAACACCAGAAAGGAAGAGGTCCTGACAAAAAGCCAGCATGGCTCCATCAGAAACAGGTGACACCACACCAACCCAGTTTCCTTTGCTCACTAAACTGGGAGAGCAGGCCAGTGTGGGAAGTACAGCTGCCCAGATTTCAGCCAAGCTTTTGACAAAGATGGCCACAAGATTCTTGTAGAAAAGACAGAGAGATGAGACTAGAAAATGGTACAATTAGACAGATTGAGAACCAGGTCAATAGCCATGGCCCTGAGGTCGATGTGGAAGGAGGTCTCCAGGGGAGTGCCCCAGGGATCTGCTGTGCTGTGTGAAGTTTGTAGTGTTTGTAGCAGTGATGTGGATAAAGACAAAGATGGAATACTTCTCAGACTAGCAGATAACTAAAAGATGAGAGGGAGAGCTCACAGAAGGGGCGGCAGAGTTAGGATCAAAAAGGCCGTGGCAGGCTGGGTCACTGGGTGGGACCTCATAAGAGCAGATTCCATAAGGCAGAGTGCCTTTGTCAGCCTTTCTCTTGGGGCCAGAACAACAGTGACAATTCTAAGGTGGAGTGGCTGGATGGAGCTTTGTCTGAAAAGATCTGAGTGTTTCAGCCAAGGGACGGAGGCCTGCTGGGCATGGCCTTCTCTATTGC